TTTGTCATGGTTTTAATATGCAGGTGACCTCTGGGAAGTTATTATGTGAAAAAAATGCAACAGATATATACACACACACACACACACACACCTGTTGCTATCTGTTGCTCACTCCACCAATAACTTTATAATGTAATCTTTTTATGATGGTATCTGTAGACTGGCTTTAAACAGAGAAAAGTTTATTTTTGTGTGTATTATCTATTATGCTGCAATAATGGACTTTACCAGTCTTAGAGGGAAGACACAGAGTATTAATCATGAAGATAAAACTTGTGATAGGATGATCACATTTTTTAACTTATAAGTAGTTCTACATTAAGCATTAATTAGGCTTTAAAAATTAGAAAGTGGATAAACACATTTTTCCTCATCCCCCCAAACACTGAGAGACATCTTTTCAGATATTGTCACAGAAGTTCTTTAATGACTTACATTTGTGCATGAAGCGTCAAAATTAATACCTAATTTATATACTAAGGTGAAAAATGAAATACATTACAAAAGTAGTTCTCTGTTTTTATATTCTGCTTTGCGTAAATTTGAAGACCACAGAATGAAATCCAATATAATTTTTTATATTTTTTACACTTAATTTTCATAATTTTCTAATAAACCAACAGAAAGATATTAGTGATTACACTTTTATTTGTCATTTTAATAGGTGGACCAACAGTCTCAGTATATTCAAGGATATAAAATTCTTTATCGGCCGTCTGGAGCCAACCATGGGGAGTCGGAGTGGTTAGTTTTTGAAGTGAGGACGCCAACCAAAAATAGCGTGGTTATCCCTGATCTCAAAAAGGGAGTCAACTATGAAATTAAGGCTCGTCCTTTTTTTAATGAATTTCAAGGAGCAGACAGTGAAATTAAATTTGCCAAAACCCTGGAAGAAGGCAAGTATAATGAAGTGTGTGATTTCTATGTATTGCACAGTACATTTGTTAGGCTTTTATTAACACGATTGAAAATTTTTTATGTTAATAATGACGTTAACTTTCTTTTTATATTGAACATCATATTTTGCTAATAGAATTTGTTTAATTAGAACTACTATAAATTGGTTTAGTAGAGGCTTATAGAAAAATGTGCAAATGTGAAACATTGTATTGCTTAATATCATATATAGATATATTTAATCATTCAGAAATAAAATTCACATTTAAAGATGGAAATGTTTTCAATTTGCTTGCCTTTGCATTATTTTCCATTCATTTATTAAATATTATCTTGAGTAATGACTTGTAAATAAGGTGAGTAATGTCTTGGTTTGCCCAGGACTTTCCAGGGTTAGCATTTTATACTTATGACTCATGTCCCTGGAAACCCTTCAGTTCTAGACAAACCAGTATGATTGGCCACCCTATAACTGGAAATTAAAAGTTAATATTTAAATAAAGGTCAAAGGTTACATGTCACAACTATTCTCCAGAACATTCCCTAAAATGTCTTTACTACTTTGAATATATAAATGATGGAATATAGTTAATAGCATGGATGACTCATTCATCTTCATACTTTTTAAACTCTTTATTAGAGAACATGAGACTAAGGTAGCAGGATAAAAGAAATAGGGATTTCCCTTGGAATTTTTGTGGAGATAATCTCTGTAATGTTGGATATGAAACATTCACAGTAACCATGTGTTAGTAATATTGAGAAATACTTAGTTTGGGATGAGATGCCTCTTTAAAACATATGCATATATTGATATAAATTTTATAGTTATTATTGGTACATTTTAAGTGCCTGCTTTTAATGTCCTCTAATGCCACTGATAATATATTCACTTTTTGAAACAATTTAATAGCACCCAGTGCCCCACCTCAAAGTGTAACTGTATCAAAGAATGATGGAAATGGAACTGCAATTCTTGTTAGTTGGCAGCCTCCTCCAGAGGACACTCAAAATGGAATGGTCCAAGAGTACAAGGTAATCCCTATGTAGTAATTGACTGATGGACATCCCTCTTCCTCTACAAAGAAAAGCAAAAGAAACCTTGGTTACATTGTGCATGGATATTTGGCGCCATCTGCTGGTTTGAATAGCAGTATGTAAAAATTGTTTAAAAACATTTTCCTAGTCAGTAATTGTGGAATACTAATTCTTAAACTATTTGAAAACCATTAATTTAAAAGAGAGAATCTACTTCATCTCATTATATTTAGGTTGATGTAATACCACATAAACAACCAATGAAATGCTAATTTTTTTGCCCTAAAAATAACTTAAATGTATGTTGTATAGGTTACCTTATAGAATTGGCCATGAGTCACATTCTATCAAATATGTCCTTTTTTTTTTTAGTATGTATGCTTGAAATCTTGGAACTTTAGAGATAAGATAAAAATTATTTACTGTACATGAAAATCATTTTTATCTATAAACATTGTTTCAGTTTCTAAGCAATATTTCATGTCTCAGAGGAAATTCAAATATAAATTTCTGTATGTTTAAATGAATTTTTTAATGTGATATAGTGTTAAGGGATTTAATCTAATGATTATGAATAATTATTTTTACCTGTGAAGTCATCCTACTTATTGCATTTAGAGAGTTTTATATAGAATCATTTTGTGCAAATATATATTAAGCATACCAAGGAAGAATAAAAACTAAGTTAGGGACATGGAATTTATCCTATCAATGAATTTGTTTGTATTATGGGATAGTTAAGTGAGTTAGGATAAATGAATTAGAAGCAAGACAATCACAATAGAAAATATGTGTATTTTTTCAACACTTATGTAAACACATTTTAAGTGGAAAAAATGTATTTCTCTAGATCCTGCTTAAAATTTCTATGATGCCTGAGTATTTTTCTAATTACTAGTAGATTATCTCATATCTAAATATTTTATACTGTATCTATTGATATGAAACTGATGTTAAGAAGGTAAACACATTTACCTCATGCAGATAATTACATGCTAATATCTGAATCACTGTAGCTTATTTTTTAAATATAGATGCCTGTCTACCATGCTCAGAAATTCTGATTTAGTAGGTCTACATAATAGGGCCCTTGCATATATATCTTGGTAGATCTTTGAGTGTTTATGCTGTGCGTTCTTGGTTAAGGCCCAAATAAAGGCAATAAATTTTCTTTGGAGTAGCAAATGATTTTCACAATAACCATATATACTGAGCTTAATTTTAGGTATAATTTTTTATTTTTAAATTATTTAAAAAATATATAAACTGAAAATTTGTGCACACGTTTAAAAGGGCAACTTTTTCAAAGTATTTAAAATACTTAAATACTAAATGCAAATGCTGGATGATGATAGATAAGCTGTTCTTTCTCTAAACTTTTTGCAAGGAACTTCTTTTTTGGCAAGTGATTTCTTAAATATTTTAAATTAGATCTTCTAGAGTAATTGAATCATTAAAACCTAAAAGTCTCGACAGTTTCAAGTGCCTTCCTGTGAGTTTCAAGGTTATTTTAATACCGGGAGTGTCAGGATTCTACAGTTCATTCCAGAAAAATAAACTGTGATGAAGGTTTTTAAGGATTTAAAATGAGGTGATGTCTCAGCTCTCAGCAAAATTGTGTAATGTAGGCATTTTCCCCTAAGAGTCAGAACTCATTTCTTTCCTGAAGAAATTCGAAAGAGTGGATTTCACTTAACTTCACGGTCAATTTAAAATAATAAAATGCCTTTCTGAACCTGATTGACTGGTACAAAATCGGTCTGTGGCTTTGGTTCAGCTGCGTAATGTAATTGGGGGGGGGGGGGTGAGGGATCACAAAGGACTCTTTATTTCCAAATGGTCAGATCCTGGTATAGAATCTTACCATTTGCTGGTGTTATGCATTGAAGCTACATTAAAATAATATTAACTTTCAAAGATAAAGTAAAGGTTATTGCCCTCGTGATAGAGGACACTGATATTCTTAGATTTATTTTAAATCCCATTTCCTATTAGACAATAGGATACTTGAAGCTAATCCCACAACTTGCTTCATAAAGAACATAGGGCATGTTTTACTACTTCCTAGATCATTTCCTTATGGAAACTGAGTTCAAGTACTGTCATGCACCACACCCAGATCTTTGGACATTGCCAAAGATTACCCTATGAATAAAATAATCCTTTAGTGTGAAATTTAAATTAAGAATTATAGTGTAGAGCAGAAATCTTTATTTCCGGAAAATAATTTCCTATAACAAATGCCGTTATCAAAGTTAATGAGATATATAATAATTTTCTTATAAGAACATTTTTCTTTCATGTCAGATGTTATTCTTTATAATCTAATATTTTATCAAAGACTAATTAATATTCACATTAACTACAAGATCAGTGTGCTAATTTTCTCCCATTGTTAATAGTTCAACATATCATAGGCTGAGTAAAATCCTAGGATGATTCTTCTTATATTCAGTATATATGGATCGGTTACCTCCCATGCATGCCCCAACCTGGGATTGAACCCTCAACCTTTTGGTATACAGGACAATGCTCAACCAACTGAGCAACCCAGCCAGGACTAGTTATATTTTAATAACCATACATATGTAGGGTAAGCTCTGTCTCTTTTTAAATCACTGCTTCTTGGTTTTGGTTATTTGGGAAAGGTGATAGCACCGGGTAATTTTATACCAGAGAACTGTTGAAGTGAAGTGCTAGACTTGGAGTTTCTTCCTCATCTTTATTTGGTGATATCTGGTAATCTAGTATCACACCTAGCCCACAGTAGGAGTGCAAATGCTGCTTGATGACTTGTATGCATATGAGCATAACCCATGGACACTGACAATAGGGTGGTGAGGGCCTGGGGTGGGTGATAGGGGCGTGCTAGAAGGGGTCTATGAAGGAGGGCAAGAGGAGGATATATATGTAATTCTTTCAACAATAAAAATATTTGTAAAAATGCTTAAAGGAAAAACAATGTACTTGAGAAAGTTTCAAGAGGTCTTGAAGATTCTACTAACACTAGCTTTGCCTAGAAGAGTCTTTTGAGAACTAGATCCTAGGCAAAATAGACTTCAGAAACTCCCCGAATTAGGTTCATGATAGATCTGAACTCTGAGTAGATCTAAAGCCACCATACTATGTTCATCTTTGCATTAACTCAAAGAATTTGCTAGATTAATATTCATTGTGTTCTTCTGACAGGTTTGGTGTTTGGGAAATGAAACTCGTTACCATATAAACAAGACGGTGGATGGTTCCACATTTTCTGTGGTCATTCCCTCGCTGGTCCCCGGGATCCGGTACAGTGTGGAGGTGGCAGCCAGCACGGGGGCTGGGCCAGGGGTGAAAAGCGAGCCGCAGTTTATCCAGCTAGGTAAGTGCTGGCGCAGATCCAGGTTGAGAGTAGATATCACTCTTCCCTTTGGCCTCTTCTTCTTTTTACTTATTTATTTATTTTCATGTAGGGGAGCCACCATTGTAAATTGAATAGAATGTGGATTGTGGTAATGTAGCTACAATATGATGGTGTTAGATTTAATATATAGGACAACTAACCTTAAATTTATCCAAGTGCACATTAAATGATTTTCCAAGAAAAACATTGTCAGTATTCAGTATGATCCTAATCCTGTCCTATTAAATTTTCTCATCTAGTCAAAAAATACAATTGAGCACCAAAGGCACCTCAGTGAACAAGACACAATGTACACCTTCATGAAAATTGCAATTGTTTGGATTAAAATAAAACAAACTTCCATGTAAAGCTTATACTAGGTATTAGAAGTTTATAGCATTATGCAATTTTTATTTACCATTTTCGTCTATTTAAAATTATGGTTGCTTCTTATAACAAAATGTAGATTGAGATGCCAGAGTACATTTAAATATGTTTATATGCTAATTATTTATCAAGTTAAGTGCACGCTTTAAAAGAAGAATAGGAAAAAAACTGACAAAATCCTTCATTACAAAAACTCACTATAGAAAACGTGGCATGAAATAAGATACAAATTAGGAAGTGGTCACCAATATAATTTAAAGCAAACATCAAAAACAGCCACAAAATACTATTGCAAATGGAAAGGGAAGAGGAGAGGGTCAGATATTAAGAGGCGACATTTAATTTGTGAAAGATGCTGAGAAGTCTATGTCAACTTTGTGTTAGATTGTTCCAGATCAGAAATTAGGCATTAGTAATATTGTGTCAGTTGCTAAATTATGAAAAAGGATCAGATATATGCCACAACCATGGGCCAGCATTTGCTTTCTGGGTTACCTTTTATACTTGGTGCATTTGAAAACAGTGCTGATATATAAAACTTTTATGTGAAAATAGCTTCATGATTTATTTCTGGTTCATTTATTGCAAAACTACAGTGTTATATAAGATATGAGGGAAAACAGTTTAAATATGGACTTTTTTTACTCAAACTATTGCCCAGATTTGTGAAATATCAGTATTAACTTATTAAAATTGAATTTATGAGTTACATTATGATAACCATATTGTTGATGTCATTTACCTATTTTGATAACATATGCCTTATAGTCCTGGGTTTTCAAAGATGAACTGGAATTTTAGTTTTAAGATTTAAATCATAGGATTTACGGGACCAATGGTTTGCTTGAAATCATAAATGTGCTCCAGGTTTTTTCCGTATCTCAGCATAGCCTCAGCTGCCATGAGGCAAAGACTGAGAGTAGAGTGGCTGTTTTAATCCACTAGTCACCCTGCATTGTATTCTGTGAAGCCCATCTGGCTGCTTGCGTGAAACCTCTCCTGGCTGTCTCCATTAAACCCACAGCTACCCACCTTAACCTTGCACCGATAGCCATGGAATTCACAAGCCCAGTAAACACAAAGGGTGTGTAGGAATAAAAGAATAGGTCTGCATGGCGAACTTTCAGAAGATGAAGTGCTCTTAGGGTAACCATAGATAAAAGGGTCTGGAACATGAAATAAAACTTTCAGTCAACAAACCGTTGAAGGCAGGTAACTGCTTGTGAAAATAGGTTTTTTTAGCCTTGACCCTCCATAGAATAAAATCTGAAATTCTGTTCAAGAGAGAAAAATAAATCAATAAAAACCACACACACACACGTAGCAATTTAGCCATTTTACATAGAAGCCGCTGCTATTTTCCAAAGGCCGTTTTCTTACCCATTGAATGCTGCTGCTTTTTCCAACCGTGTCAGATTGGAATGCAGCATCATGTAATAAGAAAAGGTAATCTGTAGGATTTATTTTTCTGTTTGAGAAATGTTACTCAGATATGGTGAGTTATACCAATTATTTTTCTGAACAAAAAAAAAAAAATTGGGGGATGGAACCAATGTTTCTATTTTAAAGCACATTGTAATAGCAGAAGATTTTCAGAGTCAGATGATATAACAGTCATAAGAAAGCCCCATCGTAAAGTAGGCAAACACCTTCCTGCTTCTCCAGATGTTGTGGGGGGAGAACATTCACACTGCAGACAGAGTGGGAACGCTGCCCACTGGCCGTCCTCCAGCCTGGCCGCAGTCGGTGCCAGCAGAGTAGGGCATTGCTTTTATGACAGAGCAACAGCTTCCAGTTTTCTGTAGAATTCCAGACGGCTCTGTGTGACGATGAAATGGTGGGCTCGAAAAATTAATATCTTAGTAGGTTTAAACATAAATAGAAAATAAGTAAATTTTAATAGCCATAAATTCCATCAATTTTTAATTTTTTAATCAAAATAGCTGTCAGAAAACATAAGCCTATTTGTTTTGTAACACATGATCATTCTTGTCCATATTTAGTGTTCCTTGTGGTGGTTATTATTTCAAAAGAAAGATTATTTATACTTTGTTCAGTGGTAGCATTATCTTCATTTCTCATTGCTTTTTAATAATCCTGAATTTTATAGGCCCTTCTGAACATAGGTTCAAATAATGTGTTTCTAAGACAGTTAAGAATCAGAATATAGTCTGTGTGGGGTGGGGTGTGTGGGTGGTGATGGGAGAGATGGAAGACACAGCATGTATTTTTTTTTCAATATCTACCTTATACAGGAAATAAAATTTACTTATCCTTTTTAGAACATATAATTGAGGGTTTCTATGGAAGTCTGAGAAAGTATATCTTTCTTATACTTACTTATCGGGGACCCCTTATTTGTATACTTACAGTAGAGTATTTCATTTTTTACTATTGTACTTTTGTGTTTACCTCAGCACTTTCCTGTGAAACTTAATATAAGCAATGAGCCACAGAGTTTTCTGGAGTAAAAAAAAAAAAAAAAAAAAGGAAATTGTGTGCCATTGCCTTTGCTTTAAAATAAATTCCATAAAATTATATCATATTTGTTTTGAATGAAAATAAATAAAACGAATATAGTTTTGCTGAAAGTCTCACGAACTATTTTAACTAACAACGCTGGTGTTGCAAATTAAGAAATGGAAGCTATTGTCCAAAAATTAACACAATAATGATGGCAGTTTTATGTTATGTAAATTATGAGTTCATTATCTTATTGCGTTTTAAACCCAAGTTAATCTGAAGATGGCTTTTCAGATTCTCATGGCAACCCCGTGTCACCAGAGGACCAGGTGAGCCTGGCTCAGCAGATCTCCGACGTGGTGAAGCAGCCGGCATTCATCGCGGGCCTCGGGGCGGCCTGCTGGGTCATCCTCATGGTCTTCAGCATCTGGCTCTATCGGCACCGCAAGAAGAGAAATGGGCTGACCAGTACCTACGCGGGTATCAGGAAAGGTACTAGCTTTCCTAAGTTTTTTATATTTTACTATGTTGACATAACTCTTGTCTTAATATGTGAATGCAAATTATGTATGTATATATACTTATTAAGTCATTTTAATACATAGGATTTTCAATAGTGCTTTTATTTTTTCATGACATCTGCCTGCATGTTAACTCCTTTGAGTAGCAATGCTACATACAGGACTAATCAGTTCCAGGCCCAGTTCCCGTAAAATGTATTTCTCCCAGGTTGGTCTGCCTGGGTGTTCTCCCATCCTCTGGTTCTCTTAGGGAATGACATTTTTGCTTTATATTCTCAAGGAACTTTTTAATCTCCTTGCCACAGAAGTAATAAATACAAGCTTTGAACTGTCTCACACAGCTTTAAGGTGACATTGTTGCCTTTGTGAAGCTAAAGAGGTTACTTGTAAAATCATTATTTTTATGGTTGTTTCTGATTATTTATAAAATAGTCATTTCTTTTGACTATGAAATACGTGACTGAATGAGGTCCTTCAGGTTGCAGAGAGAGGAGGTGTAGTACTTTTTCATTGTTATATTTAAAGTTGCAGATTTGACTGTGCATATGCTGTTAATTAGTGAGGGTGATTTTGTTACAAATATGTTTACAGTTTTAGGAGATAAAGTTTACTTGCCTGCTATTATTTATAATTTTGTGGATAAACCAAATATGTGGCACAGACACCTTTGCCACAAATCCTTAAATTCTGCAGATTGATAACTTACGTTTTATTCTCTGAGGAGATTTGATAACACTGCGGATGTATAATTCTCCCCCACTCCCAAATATATTCATCAGTTCTGGGCCTCAGACACAGGCCATGGCTGAGATGATCTAAGGCCCAGTTCTCAGGGGATGGTCCCAATTTATGTCTTTAGTCCAACTAAATATTTATAGTGCTCCTGTTTCTCTCAAAATGGCCCTGGTTTGGATGACAACTAATACATTCACCCTAGGTTAAGGGCCTTTGCTTAATTTAAGACAACACTTTTGCTTTGCCGCAATGCAAATTTAAAGAGAATTATCAAAGACATTCCTTCCCCTACCATCACCAACCTTAAAAAAATAAAATAAAAGGTGTGCATATTTCCCAAGTGACCATTTCCTACATGTGTTGGCCAAGTCATTGCTCTGACCAATTAAATGGCAAAGTAAGAATTTGCAGTGCCAGTTAGAATGTCCCTATATACTTATAAACAGTCTGAAGAGCAGTCTTACATATTTGTACTGCCCGTCACAGAGGGGCTTGGCAAGAAAGAGTCAGCATGGAATTCATCACCACCCTGTAAAATGAAGCAACATGCGTCTTGCCTGGGGCTGCACAGCAATCTCGTCATGTCCATGCCTTTGCCATGACATTACATCCCCAAATGTTTTCTAGATATGTATGCACTCTAGAGATGAAGCAAAATGTCAGTATCCCTTCTTGTGGAATGGAAAATGAGGGCTTAGAATTCAGTGGTTCTCAACCTTCTGGCCCTTTATATACAGTTCCTCATGTTGTGACCCAACCAAATAAAATTATTTTCGTTGCTACTTCATAACTGTAATGTTGTTACTGTTATGAATCATAATGTAAATATCTGATATGCAGGATGGTCTTAGGTGATCCCTGTGAAAGGGTCGTTTGACCACCAAAGGGGTCGCGACCCACAGATTGAGAACCGCTGGCTTAGATGTAACCACAAGGAGCACTGGTGCTCATTTCTATACAAAATAGAACAATATCAGGTGTTACCATAAAAAGCCTGCGACTGAAAACAATGCAGAGAAGGGTTTGCAGTGTCTGCGTTGTGGAGCCTGGAAAGAGCTGAGTAGAGTGTTAGGGGGGAAAGGGGGAGATAATATCTGATTTGAATGAGGAAAAGTGACTAATTAACATATAGATGTAGACTCTCTTGAATTCTGCAGGAATCCTGTATTTCTTATTGCAATAGAGTGCTATAGCTGTGTAGTTACAGCAATTTAATGTTTTGTATTGTCTTGAAATCTAAATATGTGACATGAAAAGCTTTCTTCCTGAGATGTTTCTTTTCCTGTACTAATGTTCTTTATGCATGCTGGCAAATGCCTATATGCTCTTTCTGCAAAACCTATTAAACTAATGTCATTGTCCTTTTAACTAGCAGAACTCGTAGAACATAATTACAAATGTAATTGGTGAGCATTTGATTCTGCTTTCTTCATTTTGCCTTGCCGGCACTTTTTCATAATCCTATTTCTATGCAATTAAAAAAAGGTGCCTCCTGAAATCTTAAACTATCTATGTCAGAAACAATGCCGGTAATTATACAAAAAAAGGAAGTGAAGTATTTTAAAGAAATAAATGTAAAAGAGTCTATTGGCTTATAAACCATCAATTCAGAGTGTGACTGGGAAATAGGGAGCTCTCTCCCCGCCGCCCGGCCCCCCTCCACACCACACATACATTTATCTGTAGGCATTTCACCCCGTCCACATTCATATTGTGCCATCACTGGGCAAACAGAATGTACTATATTATTGGAAGCTTTGAGAATTAAGTTATTCTTTGGTGTATATGCTGTTAAAAGTTCACTTATAGACCAACCTCTTTTTATCTCTTCTTCAATTCCTTAAACCAGGGCTACCAGTTAGCTAGGCATACTGGCAAGGACCTTTCATATTTTCCCTATGTCCTTGTGATAGCAAATTAATGTTCAGGTACTCTATTCTTGCTTGAATAGCTTTACTTTTTATGTACCTTTTTTTTAAATGGAGACTTGTTACTATGGCTCTGTATTTTTTATTGTAGCTAAATTACATTGACTCTCTGACAAGACCCATCTGAAAGAAAACAATAGATTCTTAAAACAGGGTTTGTCATGCTGCAGACGAAGGCCAGTGAATAAACTGGATCCATAGCATTGAGTTTTTATTTTCATTCTTTCTAGCATGCCCAGAGATGGAGTGACTTGGTAAGAAGTGACAGCTATAAAGGTGTGGCATTCCAGTTTGCCTCCCCAAATGCTCTAATCCTAAAGTCAATTGTTTGGAGATTTTCCAGTGTGAAGTGGAAAATACATTTTTGGCAGCTTTTTGATCCACAATAGCTAACCAATATTATAGTTTGTGTATTTAAGGATTGCGTAAAAGCAAACTTTAATCTTCAAGGAGTAAGATAGATGTCCTTGCTTTCCTCACCAGGGCAGTGTGAAGAGCTTAGAAATAAGTCATCCTCCATGAAATATCCTGGAAATAGCAATAGTGTAAACTGACACCGAGGAATTGGAGACCATAGGAAAATGGGGGAGGCAAGGCTGCTACTTTTGAGGTCTGCAGCTCCATTCCAGGCATTATTGATTAGATTAAGATTTATAGCTGCAGAGAGCGAAGGTTTTCAGAGGGTGTTATTGTTCTATTGTTTAGCTTCCAGAGTGTGGCATTAAAAAAATTGCTCAGCTTACTCCTAGAAAGCCTCTAAACACAAGCTAAAATAGGAAAATTAAAGTTTAAAACTCCCCATTTCTTCTGTCCATTCACAAATTTCTATGATAAAAATGTAGCTTTACACTGTTTATATAATAAGGTGTCAGGCATTACTTGGCATTGAAATAGTTCAATTTTATGGTTCTCTTTATTCCAGTTCTTCCTTTCTTCAATTCTTTCTGTCTTCCTTCCTTTTCCTCCCTCCCTCCCTCCCTTCCTTCCTTCCTTCTTTCCTTCCTCCTTCCTTCCTTTCGTGCTTTCTCTCTCTCTTCTCCCCTCAGTCTTTGTCTCTGTCTCTTAATGATGAATACTTAAGAGCCTATTAGTCCGCTTTAATAAGCATTTACTTTCAGATTTCTAGATAAGGTTGAAGTGAGACCCCCATCATGCTTGTTTAAGAATCCATCATCCACTGTTTGGAAATGATTTATAGTAGAGGGGTCCTGTTTGTACTAAAGCCATGAGCTGAATCTGTTACCAAATGCAGGGTCATTCACAGGCTAACCCAGCACAATTCCCCTCCGTACTAGAATGTCAGACACTTCAAAATGGTACCTGCAGAGACACGTTCTCTCTTTAACCTCAGATTCTGTTTTGTTCCTATATCAGAATGTCAGAGCTGCTGGCTTAGTTATTTACATTTGTCTTATGTTCAGCTGTCTGCTTGATTTATACTAATGTGATATGTTCCCTTTCTCTCTTCAGCTTAATAACTGGTTTATATTTTGTTTTGATTTTCAGTCCCGTCTTTTACCTTCACACCAACAGGTATATATTTGCACTTACCCTCCTCCTTTCCTTTGTTAGTTCAGCATGTGTTGTACTATTGTGTTTCAGTTTTTATTTCATTTTTGCAGGAAGTTGGGGGAGAGGGCTTAAATGGAATATAATACTTCATTTACTCATGTCAGGCATGCCTTTGAAGCAGAAATGGTTGGTGTTGCTTTTCATGCCTTTAATGCAGTTATTTATTCGTATTGCACACTGCACATCAGCCTTGTATGCATGTGTTTCATTAGATGGACACACTGTAGCTACCCTCGGCATGATTTAACACATTAATGATCTTATTGATGATTTCATACTTGGCAGTACATTTTTCCTTAACTTAAGCTTTCAGGTTTTCCAACAAAAATGTCTCTCCCTTTCAGTCCGGTCCATAGAATCAACATTCTTGAAGGCAACTAAAATAGCCAGCACACCTGAAGATAAAACTTCATTTTCCCTAAGTCAGAATCCTGATGTTCCGTTCTCTTCTGTTTCTTTCAAAGTGGGTCCTCCACTCTCACGTCACCTCCAGTGAGAGATGTACCTGGAGCCTTGCCTCCTCGCTGCTAATCCAGTTATTGAAATCACTGGAAGCAGTTATCTCTCCTCTGCAGACTCCCAGTTTGGAGTTCTTCTAAGTAGCAGAATTTGGCAGCTTTTAGAAACACATTTCTTCTTAGAAAATGTGTCTGTAGTTACAGAAAAGCTAATCTCCTTAACCAGTTGCCTATGTGCAAATCTTGTTTTGTTGTGGCTAGATTTTTATGCCCATACTTTATTAAGCTGAGAATGCTTTCAAGGGCATTAAAATATATGTTTGCTATATATACATGCCTGATGAAAATATAATGAGAAGAGCTTCTAGAAGCCACAATAAGGAAAACATTGCAGTAATTGATAGTCACAGTGTGGCCTATATACATCTTTGTGTGTGGAGAGAGATAAGGGTTATTTAAACATTTCTCTTTGTCTTACAGTTACTCATACTTCTGGGGAAATAGTCTAATAGGAATTTTCCCCTCAATTTAAGATTTCACTTAAATCTATAAAATGATATGATATAATAATAAAATGAAAATATAAATCTATGGGAATTCAACTGTACAAATGTATGACAGAGATATTTAATAAGAGTGTACTGACATTTTCTTTTGCTTAGTTCTCAACCTTGTGGATACATTGATAAGAATAACTTTATTTAATTCTATACAATGTTTAAAAAAATACTACTTGAATCAGAAATCTGCTAATTTCTGTGATGATTTTTTTGTTGTTTCTAAGTAGAAAGGGAGAATGCATTCCATTTTAGAAAGATGCTCATAAATGTACTAGCTTTTGATATACAAATATAAACATGTCTATTAATTTTTATTTCTTTTTTTTTGGTAACATTCTAGTAACTTATCAGAGAGGAGGCGAAGCTGTGAGCAGTGGAGGGAGGTAAATATTTTGCTTGTTTTGTAGATTTTAAGGGGAATTCCAGATATTTCCTCTTGTCTTCCTTGATGACATCGCTCTCTTTGCTTAAAAGATTTAAGTTAAAGGTGAAATTTGTTCAAACCTTTCAGAAATACTCCACTCCGCTGTGCTGTGACACCAGCTTGTTTACACACAAATGCAGTTCCTGATTAGAGCTGTTGCATCAAAGTCAGTGACCACCAGAGGGAGAACTTGAACCAGGAAAGACAGACTTGCTGATTTAGCAGATGATTAAAAGGACTTATAGTAATCAAGTGATGGCATTTATGAAGATTAAGAAATATAACTAGTTAACAGATACTATCAAACAAAAACTGTTCATTTAAAACATGCTGAAAACAGCATTTGCTCATAAGTTGTAGGTTATGTTTGTTTGTTTTTCTTGTTATGAATTCAGCCTAGTTCAGCTGTCCATATTGCAGGGAAATGTGAAGTAAAAAAGAAACCTAGGTAGCTTATTAACACAGAGCTTTCTTTTCTATAATAAAAATGAACCTCAATCCTATGTTTATGAATTTTTTGTTATTATTCAGTGAACTTTAATATATTCACAGGGAAATTACAAATTGAGGTGAGAGATGGCTTAAAGGGAATGAAATAATATATAAGTTATATGAGCCATACTTCAGAATTTTCTACAATAAGATTTTCTTTTTTAAAAACTGACATCTTGCTTAAGGTGTCAGAAAAAAAATCTTCCAACAAAAACCGTTTTATGATTCTCAAGTTTAATTAATTTATTTGTTGCCATGCTCTGTACAGATGGGTAATGTGACTGTTCCTGGAAAAGACAAAAATGAGTAAGATATTGCTCCTGAAATCGAGGAACATATGTCTGATACAAAATCACTGAATTAGTATATGACAAAGTAGTTTACATGGAAATGTTGATAACCTTTATCCAATGCAGTACAAATACAGCAACAAGCACTACTAGGTACTGCTGCAGCTTCCTGTTTGCATACCTGTGAAACAAAGCCAGCCGCTGGAAGATCCAAAAGCTAGGGAGGTCTTCATGAGGAATAAATCCACTTGATTCAGGAATTAAACCAGGGCATGTTTTTGCATCCAGGGGATTTCCATCTAAATCATAGCCCAGACAGTCATGAAACAGCCTCTGGCATAAGAACATTCTCTCATGAGTAAATCTGGAATGCCTGACTATAAACCACCTCTCTATCTCTATATATTTATGACTTTAGACTTCAGTTTTCTCATTAATCAAAGCATATTAAAGTGTGCTTATTGAGCAGCTTCTATATTCTCTGCGCTAGCCCCTGCATGAGCACAGGCACAGAGGAGTACATGCGACATACACACACACACACACACACATACACACACACACATGCACAGTATAAGTTTTGTTTCTGCTGAAAAGGAATTAACAACCTAAATAGACCAAGTTATCAAATCAGAATAATGACAGGAGCCCATAGGTATCAAATGCTAGTTTCTGTAGAAGGGCTGAAAATTTACAAAGTTCCTGAAATATTTTTCTATTTGGAAAGCTCACCAATAACCATGCAAATTTAACCTTTTAAATCTAAAAAATAGAATAGCATTAAAACCGGTTTATTTCAAATGTCAAATAGAAATCACCTTTATTCCCTATGAAATGATAAAATATGCTGAAATATTACAGAGAGCAGCTAAATAAGTATATTAGACTCAGTGCTCAAAATGACAATTTTGTGTATACATAAACACAATTTTAAATTTATTTATTAATCAAACATATTTATTGACTGCCCAACATGTAACTTGGCACTGTTCTAGTTGCTTGAGATATATCAGTGAACAAAGTCAGTAAAAATTCCTGTCTGCGTGAACCTATGTTTAGTGAGGGAGAGAGAAGATAAATAAGAAACATTTAAAAAGTCAATTTCATAATATTAGCAGTTGAGTGATATGGGAAAAGTAGGACAGCATAAGAGGGATCAGGAGGACATTAGGAAGAGGTCTTATTTTCTAGCCATTTTGAGAGTGACTGAGTGTGTGTGTGTGTGTGTGTGTGTGTGTCTAAGACCCAGTATGGTAGGAGAATGAGGAGTGAACCAAACTCCTGCACTCGTTTCTTTCATGTCCATTCCTTAATCCCTGCTTCCCTCAGGCATCTCAGACTCCAGGAGCCCTCACTGAACCTCCTACCTCATCTGCTTAGTGATACCTAAGTCAAAATGTTCCAGTCATGCTCTTCCCTGCATCCGTTACTGCTTTTTGTTGAGCCTAAGTTTTACCCCCTTTACTATCACTATTTTGTTTCCCTTCAAACACTTGTTCTTTCTTGCCTAATCTATTACAAAAGCTCTCAGCAGTCCTGCTTTCATCTGTCTCAACTTGGACTATTTCATGTGAATTCCCTTTGCCCTTTTGGAGACAGAATATTTTTAAATGCATATGATCATGTCTCTCAGTGGCTGAAGTATTATTGATCTTTGAAAGATAATCATCAAAAACTATCTAAAAGGGGAAGGAATGTGTGAGTTATTGAAAAAAATGAATGTCAGAAGACTTAAGTTCAGTCGACTTTAAAGAAAATTTGGGGTGCTGGACATTTCCCTCCCATAAAGGAGAAGGTTTAGCTAAAAATCACTTCCAGTTTTCAATATTGTAAATTTAGCTCTTCCCAGAGAAGGGTGAATGAGGATTGTGGTAAGTAAAAGACCTCTTCGCAGCTTGAAAAAGAAGGGGACTTGTGATGTAACTCAGGGGAATGTATTGGAAATACTAAGTAACTGTTCCTATTCATTTGCTTTCCTTACCTCAAACATCCCAGTTACCTCTTCAAAAAAACCCTACTTAAGACCAACCCACAGCATCAACCAGGAAAAAGCAAACAAAATCTTTAAAAAAAAAAAAAAAGGAGTTGGGAAGTCAGGCTAACCAGGTGGAAAATGCCAACCCCACATTTTTTTTTTTGGCTATGGGAGTTGAGAAAGTGAGTTCAGGCTTGCTTCTCTTTAAAATATTGGCCACTCTTAGATCTGTCCTTCCCTTCTTCGTGGCTTCAAAAGTCTATCATGTTATCAATGGAAAGAGGAGACAGTCTAAAGCAACTCTTACCACTGGGCTCCTTCACCATTTTCCCCAGCGCTTGAATCATGTAGCATTTTATTTTGTGGTTTATGAGTACAAGTAGGTGTTTTTTGTTTTGTTTTGATTTTGGTGAGTGATCGTCATACTTGGAATAAAAGGAGCAGAGAAATTAAAGGTAACTGCCACCTGGTTACTTAAGTTCATTTGTTCTCTTTTCCTTTGTGACACAAATTTATCCCCCTAATATAAATTGTATGATAAATTTGTTTGTTTGATTTTTTTTAGGTCCTTGTGTCTTCCTTTTCCTGATAAATACTGTCTTTTTGAAAACA